TAAGTAGAAATAGTGACTAATAGCAATTGATAGTCACTAGAAGTTGTTTGAACCACGAATCTGCCATATAAATAAAAAATTGTTATTGTATAGCCAATAATAGCCATTGGAAGCCAAATCAGCCCGCACACAATTCAATAACTCAAAATTGTGACCAATAGTCATGAATAGTCAGTATAAGTCATTTGAACTCCGAATCTGCCATATAATTTATAAATATAATCATATAGTCAATAATAGCCATATGAAGCCAACTCAGTATTCACACAATCAAATAACTCAAAATAGGGACTCATAATCATGGACAATCACTAGAAGTCTTTTGGACTCTAAATCTGCCATATAATTATAAATATGAATGTATAGCCAATAGTAGCCACTGGAAGCCAACTCAGTCTGCACGCAACAAATAAGTTGAAAAAGTGACTGATAGTGATTGATAGTCACAGAAGTAATTTGGACCCCAAATCTGCCATATAATTTATAAACATGGTCACGTAGCCAATAATAGCCATATGAAGCCAGCTCAGTCTGCACACAATCAAATAACTCAAAATAGTGGCCAAAAGTCGTTAAAAGTAACTAGAAGTCATTTGGATTACATATCTATCATGTCAAATTCTGATCAAAAAGCCAAAATTAACCATTGAAAGCCAACTCAGCCTGCATAAAATCAAATAACTCAAAATAGTTACAAATAGTCATTGATTGTCATTAAAAGTCATTTGGAACTGAAATCCACCATATAATTAGGAAATAAAATCAAACATTAAATAATTGTCATTCAAATCCAATCTCAGACATAACATTACAAATATCACGAAATGGTCACTAATGGTCAGTAAAGTCCATCACAAATGGAACTACCTAATAAACAGCTGCTTGGTCTATATGCCGCGAAATAGCTTAGGATATTGGCCCAGAGCCATTAATAGCCCCTGGAAGGCAATCTAGTTTATACTCATTCAAATAACTCAGAAATATAATTCAATAGTAATTGCAGTCGTTAGAGGCTAACCAGGCCCCCAAAACGACAGGTAAAACTGAACCGGACACTATTTCTACTTCCTTATAGATACTGACTCTTCGTTAAACAGCCAGTGTAGCATTTACTGGCTGTAATAACTGCGTCGTGTAGCATTTCCAGACTCATTGGAAGTGAATCTCATACAATTAAAATACTGACCCATGCAGCAATTCCATATTTGAATTGCTGTGCTTTATTTCTAACTGCAAAGAGCCAGTCACTGCAGCTCCATAAACTGTCAATTTACTAGAAAGTCACTAATTGCCGGTAGGTCATTTGTACCAGCTGTAATACAAAGGTCTATATAATCTAAATACTTAGTGCCAACATGAAGCGCACCTCATTATCAGAAATACCGTGTATCAGCTTTTGCTCAATTGAAATCGGCACACTGATTTGCCATATATTCACAATTCCTGATAGTGTGAAGAGAAGAAGTAGAGTAGTGAATGACTGTTTTCCTTTTAATTTCGAGCGCATAGTTTACCATCTCACACCGAGAGATGGCAGCACTTCTGTGTCTCCCTACAACCCCATGTATTTTGGCTCGAGTTTCCAGTATTGGTAGTCAATGGTATTTGGTGACACTATCGAAAGACCTAATTTTTGCGGCCTATGTACCAAAATATTATGGAGCCGGTTACTATGAACTGGGACTTTGCATTTTTGTACTTCTTTATTATGAAAAATGGTAATTTGCCAAACTTGGTAAATAAGAAAAAAAAAATCATTGATTTGTTTCGCAATTGCGACCTCTCCTGCTCCCTATTTTAGGGGGCCTATTTTTAGTGGGTTCATAGGGCTGAAAATGTGCATGCCCTCCTTTTATATGGCTACAAGCACCACCTGCAAATTTCACGCAAATTGAGTGAGCAGTTCAAAAGTTGACACTCCCAGGTAGTGTCCTCCCTTTAAGCATGTGCGAGAATAGTTGTAGGCTTGTAAAACTACTCAATATTTGATTAGAAAACACTCAGTCAAAACCACTATCCGCTTCAAATTTGCTTTGAGCTCGAAATCCGCTGTTTGCTCAAGCTTAGGAAAGTGGTTCATGAAATATTGAATAGTCTTGTGTGAATAGTGGATTTTGAGTTCGAAGCGAATAGTGGTTTTGCCGAATATTTTCGATTTGAATATCGAATAGTTTTCCCACGCCTTTCACTACCACTAAGGTAGCAATTTGGGCCAGTTGGTTCATGATCACCTAAAAGCACTAAAAAAAAAACACAAGGACGAGGAAGTAGACAGAGCGCTTTTGTCTGTCTACTTCCTCGTCCTTCTGTTTTTTTGGCGCTTTTTTAGGTGCTTTCACTGCCATTGCATAATGCTTAGACGAAAACCCAGCTAAACCTGTGAAAGTTGTTCCACTTGTTCATTTATAAGCTAAGTTTAATCTATCTATATTTATGAACTGTGACCTCGGAAGCTCTGTTGTCATGGGGTGGCAATTAAACGACGGATTAGACATAAAATGAGTCCTTGAAAGATGGCCAACTATACACTCCGTGCGGGAACTATAGGGGGCGCTTTGAAGAACGCGCGCAGCGCCGCTAGCGGAGGAGCTGGCGTTCGACTGTGAGGCGCGTTCAGCAGCCTGCGGCGCCTTTTCGCATGCCAAGCTGTGGCGGCGGAAGCACGCACGGACGAAACTTTTGCTTTTTGAGCCGATACGTTGAGGGTGACGTTGCATGAGTGCTGGGGCAGAAGGGCATTTAGCTGTTCTCCACTTATATATTGAGTTTGAGTCGTAATTAGGGGTAATTTCTCTAGTTGCGGCCGAAAAAGGAGTTGGAGTAATTTTCCGAAAAACAAGACGGCCGCCACCTTAATTGCTCTGAGTGGGAAATTTATTTCGCTCGTCGCTGTAAACCTAGGACTGCTGGAACGATGATATTTGGAGGCGAGTGAGAGGTTCACTAAGTTTGTGCACGAAGAGAGCCAAGTTTCTTTAAGACAGCAGGTGTGACAGTTATGTTTCTAACGAATAAAGAAATAAAGCTGTGCGGGATATCCAATATTGGACCCAAAATGTTGTGTTATAGCGGGCTGTGCAAAGTGCAGATTTGGGCGCACAGGTGCTTGGACTTGACACAGCACTTATTATACAAAAAAAAAGGTGGCATAGGGAAACCAGGTGAAAATTTGGTTTGGGCGGCGTAACTCAATGGGAACCGGTTTTGATCATGAAAAGGCTGTCAAGAGAATACCACTGGTCGGGAGAGGTGGAGACTTTAGAGGTAGGAGGGGACTAGTGGACTGTACTTCCAATTAAAACAACTTTACGAAAGGTGGTTCCAAAGCCGAGAAAACAAAGTTGTCGGCCAACACACGGTTTGGCCGCCAAGGGCTTTTGCGGTCAGCTGTTGTGTAATAACCTGTTGTGCGAGGTGCTGATTTTGGCGCACAGGTACTTTGACATGACCGTCACTTGGCACAACACTTATTATAACAAAAAGAGTTGGCATAGCGAAACCAGGTGGAAATTTAGTTTGGGCGGCGTAACTAAATGGGAACTGGCTTTGACCGTCAAAGGCTGTCAGATAATACCACTCATCGTGGGAGGTGCACATTTTACAGGTAGGAAGGGACCAGTGAACGGTACTTCCAGTTCGAACCACTTTGCGATAGGTGGCTCTAAAGCCGAGAAAAAAAAAAAAAAATGTTGTCTACAGAACTCTGAGTGTCAGCGTTTCCACATCCAAAAGGAGGCTGGTCAAAAAAGAAAGCACACCACATAAACTTCCATACTCAAACGTCGATTCTCCAGTGATTCCGAGTTTCATTGTTGTTTTCTTTAGATTTATATTTGTCACTTTTTTACCTTTCGAATCTTTCTTCATGAAGTACAGATTGCGTGCCATACTTGTCCGGAAATATCATCGACACGTACGATGGGGACGAAACTTCTTTGGAGGGCATTCCTCCAACGAAATTGGCACTGCATACCTGCGAGTGTGGGTTCGTCCTATCGGCGCTGACACATGTACGCGTTACTGGTACGAAAACAAAAGCAGAGCGCAAAGCGGCAGTGTAGAATATGTCAGCCGTGCCGACACAGTGGCAGACATGATCGGGAGACCAAATTTCTCACGTCGTACGGCACGGGTCCATCGTTGTCGCTGTCCCACAAAACATCGGCGAGGTGAAAAACTGTGAAACTTTGTCTCCACGAGATACGACGCATAACTATTGAAGCACTTAAAATGACGCAGCACAGGCAGCACTTCATGCTGTGAACCCAGCGCAACCGCACCAATCCGACTTCAATACGTACCAACGTACGCGGCGTGGTTTCGGTTTCGTTTTCTCTGGGGTTCTCGCTGCCTACCTTCGGTACCGGCCGCGCGGCGGCGCGCCAGTCGCGTCGCACGGAGTGTATACCTGACTGAGTGAATTTACAAATCTTGCTCTATAAAAACTTCTTTCCTTAATCTAGAGTTAAAGAAGAATGAATCGCGCATGATGAACACAGTTTGTGAGGGCATCTGTGCCCAACATGGTGTACTCTTGCATAACAGTTTAATTTTGAAACTTTTACTACAATATAGGTATACACATTCACAAAGTTTCCATTTATCTTCAAATACAGTCGGCACGAATGCACCATCCCGCTTTAAATGTATGCTTTTCTTCCAAGCCCGCAATAACGATATTCATACTTTTTCAAGTGCTTATCGCGGCGAGTTACCCCGTTGAGTGCGCTTCTTACCGAGCACCGATGTAATGCAGAGAAGCAACACCCGCGAAGCTTGCTTCCGTGGGTATTGTTTCCTCGCAGCGCACCGGTGCTTGGTAAGAAGCACACTCAACAGGGCAAACTCGCCGCAATCAACACTTCGAAAAACGCGAATAGTGCAGTTCTTCTCGAAGCGAATTTCGAATAGTGTATTATTCGTAACTACTATTCGAAATTTCGAATATTCGCACAACCCTAATATTGAACTAAATGACACAGCTCTGTTTCCTTCTTCAGAGCAGGGAAGAAACTTGCAACGAGATGTGCAACATTCTGAGAGGTACCCTCACTCTGGTCCTCGAAAGTGAGTTGAAGAGTGCCTTTGGGGACCTGTGGTGAGTTTTCCTTTTGCTGCTCGTATCGTTTCACAATCGTTCGACTACTGCATCTGCTCTTGTTGTGCAGCCACATTCAAACGACAGTTGCTGCACTTTGTAACTGTGGGAAACTTTCTGATACTGCCCTGGTTTGCAGGAAGGGTAGGAAATTAAATTTCTCATTAAGCAAGCTTTAAGCAGAACTTGTAGGAATTCTCAAATAGAGGGACCTGCCTACCATTATATCCCGGGAGATGCCCTACCCCGAAAGATAACTCACCCATATTTTTTGCATGATTTGTTATTTTTTTACAAACACCAAAAGATAGCCCACTTTTAGTTATATTGTAGGGCCCTGGCCAACAGTAACCTTGGCAGAAATGGTGTTACTTAGCCACGGCTGGAGATAAGCAAACATTGCTAACTGGGTACGACACTAGAATTTGCTTCATCCCTGCGATCACAAGTTTTGCAGGTTACAAAAAATCTAAAACTAGCACTTTTCAACTTTTTTTTATCGTTCGCCGAAAGTTAACCCACTCATTATCTTCACCCGATGTGCTTTCGATTTTAGGTGGGCTATCTCTCGGGATATTACGGTAGTTCTATTTAATAGCAATAATAATAATAATGGTGTTTATTTTCTGTCAAAATGTCTGACGGAAGGAAGCCTAGGAAAAAAGCTGCAACATGCAGCTTGACAAGTTCTCGGCTTCCCTCCTCACATTGGCAGCAGTAACAAAGGGACAAAAAAAAATTAACAATTCAGCGTCAATATTAGGTCAACAATGGAACTGCACACTGAGGCTATATAGAAAGGTATAAACATTTGAGCCCCAACATATTGAAACAATACCGTAATTCAGTTTCACAATATATAACAGTTATTCAATAAGTTGGTACGCATGTTTAAGGGTTAGAATAACAGTGCTTATGAGTCATGTTTAAAGGGACACTGACACCCCCCAAAATTTTTTTTAAATTTTTTGCCAGGTGCTTCATTATGGTGTCGGAGGACTACCCAATTAATATTTTGCAACAGAGTAGCGTATTTTTTTAATAAAGCCAAAAGACGCAACTGCTCGAAACCGAAACCGAAACCCGACGGAGGTCGGAGAAGTGGAGAGAAGAGAGCGAGTGGCGGAAGTCACGTGGCTACACCCGACCGTGTGTTTTTTTGTTTGTTCGTTTTTTCTCCTTCCCGGTAGCAGACGACATGCGGCGTACGGGAACTGTTCGCCGTGGGATTCTTTTGCAGTTATGTATGTTCCGCTCGTTGTTCTGTACTCCAAGATGAGTTGTTTTGTATATTGAGGAGTTGGAGATGAGTAGTGAGTGCCCGTGGTGAATTTTGATCGGCTCCGAAAAGAATACACCCAAGATGTTGCGTGAAGAGCTGGCTCACATGTCCTGCGTCCGAAACAGAAGTGGCATTGTGCGACAGAGTTTCCGAAAGATCAACGGGATCCGGACCAATGGCTGGCTGCAATTCCTGTAGACCATTTACGGGCACCTCGGAAAGCGGACGCTACCTGATTTATATGCTCCTTGCATCTTGTGGAAAGTGATTACATTGAGTTCGCAGGTGTCAAAAAGGAAATCCCATACCATTTAATTCAGCGACGTGTCGTCCACAACATTTGTTTCTTTTTTTTTTTTTGTTTCTTCAGTGATAATTTTAAGGGGGGACATTGGCTAGAGGTAAAATTTTTGAACTACTCAACTGATCGAAATGAAATTTGCAGGGGAGATTTAGCTTCAAATGTAGGTGTACTGTGCAAACTTTCAGCTCTCTAGGACAAATTTGCATGCCTGCATAAGATGATGTTCACTTTTCATTAAGAAATCTATGATATGCAAATCAAGCTATTAAGCACCATTTTGACTGCTTGAATATAAAGTGGGGGATATGGGACCTCGGGCTATCTAGTTTTAATAACTTAAATGTAAATATTTCAGGAAGAGTTATTACCTCAAACTATGAGATGCATATCTGTCATCTGTCAATATTTGAAAACTTAATTTTTTCTCACTGAGGACTTCAACTTAAAACAAAGTAAAGTAGATAGCCCGATTCCTGAGTAAATTTCAGTTCAGAAACATCTTGATTGTGGTATCAGAATACTTTCACCTTCAAACGAAAGATTCCTTCGTGTGAAATTTGCAGCAAAAAGTGGAACTGAGAAAAATGCATTCAAACATTGAACTCCTTTACTTTGTTACTGCCTCACAATGAGTTGAAAATATTTCATATCAACGTAACTATTTGGCATATGGTCATCAAATGTGGTATAAGGGTGTATAATTAGTTTCTAAAACTGAAAACCTCAAAAATAAAAAATGAATTTTTTCAAAAAAATTTAAAATTTAGGCCCATGTCCCCCCTTAAAAAAAGAAATGTAGACATCAAAAAACATATGAAAAAAAAAAAAAAACATTTCCAGGGGGGATCGAACCCGATCCTACGGCGTGTAACGCGGACGTCTTTCCTACTAAGCTACTGGGGCATATCGAAAGTAGGGGATCTCTTTCCTTAGTAATAATCCAGCCGATAAACTAAGTTGGAAAGTTTGCTACCGATTTTCCTTTAGCAAAAGCACTCCCGGGTCGAAGTCGGGATGCACCCCGCATTGGCGACATTCTCACCTTGTAAAGAAATCGTACGCGTGCATATTCAACTCGAAGTAGACACGTCGTGCTTGACGTTTGCGCGAGCGATGTCTTCAGCCACGAGAAGGGAGCGACGGCTCGGCGACGTCTTCGTGCAAATCGGCTTGGTGGTCGGGCGTGTCGTACGGGATGAAGACCAATTCTTTTGATCAGTCCCAAATTTCTCTTTTAAAGGCAGACAAAATTCTCCGGTACCGCGAACGACAGTTCTGAAATAGAGGTCCCACGCCCGTCGTCCGCTGCCATCGCGTCCCTGCGAGTCCCACGATACGCGAAACGACGCACGCACAGAATGCTTCCGGTTGTCTGTGAAACTTTTTTTTCAATCAACGTATTTGCAGCTTTTTAGAAGCCACAAAAAATGGGTTTCATATTTTTTTCTATTTTTAATATTGAGTGTGTGCCTTCAGTGACCCACGACTTTGATTAAATTTGGTGGTCGCATCGATACCTTAGAAAACGGCCCGTGACCGCGGAAAAGAGAGTGAGCGAGACTCGAACCGGCCAGTTCTTGATCGGCGGTTTTCGGGCGGGAAGAAACCGAATTTCGAGCCGCAAATTCTGTTCTGGGTAGTTGAGCTCTCATATGTCACGTACAACTAAAAACCTCGGCGAGCATAAATACCCTGTCAGTGTCCCTTTAAGGAACCATATCTGTGAAAAATGCCCGAAGACGAAGCCACTATATTAGGTACCTTCCTGTTGAGGAAATAGTCGCCTCAGATATTTCGAAATTGATGAACATCCGGGTGGTTTAATGTGAACAGCGATGGACAAGCATTTTGTCTTGAGGATTTTACGGGGCTTCAAAGGCCACATACTCAGATTTGTTTCTTTACATTTACGACCAACCTTCCATGCTAGAGGGTTGAGCTTTTTTGTTTTATTTTTTTTGTGCATTGCACATAAAACTTTGGGTATTCAGTGTTCATTTTGACATTCAACTTTGTGGTTACTGTTCAGCACTCTTTGATTCAAATTTGATTTGAGTGGAAATTTCACGATTTGCACTACTCTGCAGGAAAGGCAAGTGGATGAGTAGGCAGTAAAATAGTGGCAAATTGTGCTCACAAATGTGATCTGCCCCTCCCTACCTTCAGTGATCTACGCTTGACCTTGACAAAAGCACACCTTTTAAATAGGGCTCCTGGATAATATATACTTACAGTCTAAGCTCATTACAACATACCTGGTTACAACAGACGTTTAAATATAACATACCAAGTTGTGAACTTCGGTTGGTTTTCCTCTGCATACCATTGACTCAACTTCATACCTGCACACAATATACTCCTTTTTCAACAGACGGATATCCTGGTCAAAATCAAGTTTGTTATAACAAGCTTAGACTGTAAATGAACAAACGCACGTGGGAGCGCCTTAGGAAGCAGCAGCTGTTGCTACTATACTCTACACCGTTGGTGGGAAGAGAGACAGACAGCATCAAATCAAAAGGGGAGCTTATGCAACATGCTGCTAGTACCATCTAATTAGTATCCCACTAAAAACATACCAAATGAGGAATGTTTGAAACTCGGAGGAGGGTGGATGTTCTTTCTAAGATTTTCCTGGCGTTTGATGGAAATGGAAGTGTGTTCTGAAAGAATGAAGTGACGCCAGACATTTTCTTACTTTCATGCCCGTGCAAAAAATCAACATCAAGGCTTCGCGTTGTTGCAGTCAAGCCTCCCTGGACAGAAGTGACAGCCCTGGAGTGTCTCCTCAAGTATGTTCTGAAATGAAACCTCTCTGGTCTAACGCTGCCACGACAAACGTTACCCGTTCCCGCCACACGTAATTGCTTTATGGAGCAACAGGTTGTGGACACCTGCATTGCGTGCATGTACGGCGAGCAAGTTTGGCTTCCCGTTGTGCAGTGGTACAGTGATGTCACAGCACCAAACTCTGATTGGAAAACACAGTGGGTCTACCCACTGTATCCTCCAATCAGAGCGAATTAGTTGGTCAGAGCACCGAGCTCCAGCATCATCCGCTGAAAATGGCTGTCTCGCCTTTTCTGCATTTTTTAAAAATCCACCAGTTCTTTACGAATTTAGCAATGGCTTTTTCACCTTTGTGACAAAGAAGGTGAAATACCTGGTCTGAATTCTGCACCGTTTTTGTCAACTAACAGCTACAGTCGCCGACCGATTTTTTGGACGCTCATGTTCGGACTTCTTCGATATTTCGGACCTAAAGGAGGAAACCGTGACCTGCCTGATAGAAATATTACATATTCACGACCAATGTTTCGGAAAGTTGAAGTCCGAAAGTTTGATTTTTCTGACAAAATTGTTGCAAGCGATAAGTGGGAAACACCGCTGAGAAGCCACCAATCTTAGATTTCATGTTGGCTGCACATGGATTGGCTTGGTCCGGCAGCACTACTTGAGTACTGCTAAGTCCTACCGCTAGGTGACGCTATGCTGCAACTTTTAATGTGAAAGCATTAATTGCCCCATAGAGTGAATCGGTGTTATCAGCTTTTGAAGCCGTGCGCCAAATGGCATCTATATCCCCCTGTCCCAGTGGAGCGAAGCCTGTTGTCTGTGGCAGCGATTTGATGGATAGGCTCCCATTGGCTGGTGTGCGTCATAGTTTCAAGGAACGAGGCTCCCATTGGCTGGTGCGTGTCATAGTTTCAAAAAACGCCACCCCACGGTGCTGCAAGCCCCGCGTCGGCAGCGCGTGAGTAAAAGGAACACTGTGGAGCGCGCTCGGCTGCGTCTACTCCTGTCGAAGCCAAAAAACATGGTGGTGCCTCAAGCATCTACAATGTCGGCGGCTGCAACCTCGGGAGTAGCGAAACCTGCCCGTCCACGGAAGTACACCGCAGACGAGCTAAGAGAGCAGAACAACACAGCACAACGAGCGAGGAGGCAGGCAGCGAAATCCACGATTGTCGTCAAGTCTCCGAATACACGGTGGGCGGAACGACCAGTGGCGCAACGCGCTAGGAGACAGAACAAAGCCTTTCGAAAGCGTGAGGCGCAAGCGCATCGCGATTCCAAGCGTCTCGGGCAGCATGCTTTCGCATTCACGTCTCGTAAGAAGTGCTTAGGTGCCCTCTGACTTTTGTTTTACCTAGCTGCACATCATTATCATCATCATTGCTAGTATTTTGCTTTGTTCATCTCCCTGATCACTATGACAATCAGTGGTTCATTCGCTATTCTGCAGTCGTGGGTTTGCGCCTCTCATCTCGTCTCAGTCTATCGTCTTTTCGAACGACGCTGGCTTAGACGTCATGGCCTCATCTGTTTTTGTAGTGCAGAAAGTACTTGACCATAACACCAGAGAAGAAGGCAGCGATTCTCAAGCTAATAGAAAGTGGCCGAACGGAAGCAGAGGCGTAACCTGAAGCAAGGCACTATAGACCTTTTGCTAAATTACGAAGCATCAAGGAGAATGCAGGGATTGGTGTTCCACGCGCCACATGCGCACGCCTTCCCCGTATAAAAGATTCAAAGTAAATAACCAAAATAAAGTGTTGACGAACATGCGTGCAAGATGCAATTTGTGAGGCCAGCATGTGCAGCGTGTGGAACACCAATCTCTGCATTCTCCTTGATGCTTGGGTAATTTAGCAATAGGTCTATTGGCGACTCTTTTAAGCCCGCTTAGATGTAATATAGGCAAGTTTTTTTAATCTGCTGATTTTTCAAACCACGAAATCGGAAAAAAAAATGCAGTGGTGTGTGTCCCAGGACATCTCCTGGGACACACACCACTGCATTTGCAAATGTTAATCCGGGTACCATTTCTGCTTTCTACAATTCCCGCGAAACGATGAACCTGTTGCAACTCCAGAGGCTTCGCTTACGGAGAACACTTGCTCCTCATAGGGCTGCTTGGCGGAGACGGGTGTGATGGCCTTGAAGGTAGTCTGTGTTGTTTGACATTGTGATGCCCAAGTACTTGTAAGAATTGAGAATTGGTACATCGCACTTTCCAAGACGAAGGCTATCGAGAGTGGTCTGGAGGGAGCTCGAAAATACCACCACCACTGACTTGCTGGTGTTAAATTTTAAACCAAGTCCCATAGCCTCCTTGGAGCATATGTCAAGAAGCTTTTGCAGTTCAAACACTGATCCTGCGGTCAGTACCACATTGTCCGTGTACGTCAATCACAATAGTACCCAGTCAACTCGATCCCCATGCTCCAAATGTGCTAGCGAAAAGCCCAGTCCTGATTGTATAAGTTGCTTCTCTAGGGTGGATACTTATAGCATATACAATAGGGGAGAAAGCGGGCAACCTTGATGTAAGCCCCTTGTCACCAGCACCCCCTCAGAGTGAGCATCATCAAGGTGGGTCATAACCGTATTGCCATGGTATAGGCGGGAGATGAGTGTTGTCCACTCCGGCGGCATGTCAAGCTGTTGTAGACTAACAATAAGCTGGGCAGGGGAAACACAATCATAGGCCTTTGCGATGTCAAGGAAACAACATATTAGGCTCCTCTCCTCTTTCTGTGCAACCTCAATGCATTGTGTTAAGGTAAAAAGCCGTAGCATAGCGTCACCTAATGGTAGGACTTAGCAGTACTCAAGTGGCCAAACCAAGCCAATCCATGTTCAGCCAACGTAGAATCTAAAATGGCGGCTTCTCTGTGGTGTTCCCCGCTGATTGCTGGCGATGATTTTGTTCGAGAAATCAAACTTCAAGCTTTCCGAAACATTGGTCGTAAATATGCACTATTTCTATCGGGCAGGTCACAGTTCCTCCTTTAGGTCCGGAATACCGAACAAGTCCGAATTATTGGCGTCCAAAAAATCGGTTGGCGACTGTATTTTTATTTTTGAAAAATAGAAAACATTAAAAAAATTAAACTCTGATAAACTCAAAATTTTCCAAGGAATGATCTCCAACAAACACCCTCTGAATTCGGCAAAAAATAAACTCCGAAAACACGGATTCCTAGATATAATGTGCCCGTTTGTGATCACCGGACCAAATTGTTTAAAACCATTTTGTCCTTCACCTGTCACCGAACTCGGGACTCCTCGCTTATTGACCCGATGCTCTAACCATTGCATCACCCGAGCTGCATGCTCAAGTGTTGCCATAGCAGCTATGTACTCAACCTTAAATGTGTCGACCACGAGCTGCACATGATGCGTATGGTTTGCGAGTAAGGCTGATGAGAGTGGGGCGAGCCTAGTGCAAACCACACAGATAATGTGTGTGTGGTTTGCATGCTATGCTCTCCAGGCTCTGTTAGCACGTCAAGCTTGCAATAATTTTTCTCCACCCCATTCAGTTAATTAGGTTGCGGAACTTGAGGCATGTCAACAGAGGCCGGCTCGCGCAGAACAACGGGCATGAAGCGAGTGTAGGAACGAGAAGTGCCTAGACGGCTCCCAGGCTTGACCGATGCTGTCGCTTGAAAGCATACTAGTTTCCCCCCGATAAAAGGTGTGTTTTCAGTGCAATGTTGCTTACGTTTCCCACGACTGTAAGGGAAATTTTTATTTATTTATTTATTTATTTATAAATACTGTTCACCCCCTGACGGGGGCTGTGACAGATGGGGGGGGTAGAAGTTCTGTGAAATATACGATAGAAAGTAAAAAAGAACCAAAAGGAATACTGCCCTTTGGGCCTACAGTAAGTGCATAAAAAGAATAAATTAAAGACTGTAATTGAAACACTCTACACTCCAATAGTACAAAAGATAAATCTAAACAGTCAACACTAGTTATAACTTCCTGTGACGAGAAAAATACAATCAACATACGGTATTTAAAGGGATGGTGAACCGAAATTTGGATTTCAAAAAAACAATGCAGGAGATGTAGGCAGGACGCTAAAATTCCTACAACACTACTCGTAAGGCGATATCTCAAATGGACGGTTGTATTTTTGGAAAAAGAGGTCGATATTGAACCAGGCCGACGAGGCGCGTGACGTCAAGATACCTAGCTTCCTCCTCTTTTCGCTTCGCTCCCTCAAGGCGGCGAGGCGGAGAAGACGCGAGGCCGTTGCTTCTCCTTCTCTGAGAAACATGACGTCAACATTTCTGCCAATTGCGTCTCCTGTTTTGAAAAATATGGTGTTTCGTTCGAGATATCGCTGTATTAGTGATGTTTTGGTGTTTGTAGCATCCCGCTGCGCGCTTTTGCCGCGTGTTTTGGGGAATCCAGATTTCGGTTCAGCATCCCTTAAACGGGCTAATTTGAAATAACATTTTCAAATTCCTCAGCAGAGATTATTAATGCAGTCTTCTGGGGAAGGTTGTTTTATTTTATGGTAATATTGGTGGCAGAGTGTCGCATGCAGGCGTGCCTAGGCGTGATGCTCATTCTCTGCTTTTCTGGATTCCTCGTAGACACTGGATCGCCCTCACTGGCCTCGCATTTAAGCGGACTCTAAAACCGGTGGTCGAGAACCTGGTCTCTCTCCTGAAAAGCCGACATGGTATGTGACGTGGCTACATGGCTGTGCTGTCGTGAATTCAAATGCGGATGACCTAGAGTTTTAGGCCTTCAGCTAATTCAAACAAATCCTGTATACATTTGGTTGGACGATTATTATTTCGACAAATTCTTGAGTTGCCTAGTTGCTGCGCATATTTTGGAACTGTGGGTTGGTTCTCGACACTACAAGAGCTGGCCTCTGAATAGTGGCACAATACGTTATATCCGATAAAATCACATTCACGGTGCTACGGACAAATAATATAGATAGTAAATACCGCGCTGTTCTTGAGGAATCCGCTGCCATTTCATCGTTGCCAGAGTGCTACGACAGTCTTTTGGTGCGTCAATTAATTTTTTATCTTTAAAGTTTGTAGTAGCTCGACTTGAAGGCTTATGGGGTCCCTGCAGAAATGCGTCGCGGCAGCCTTCCGCAGTCAAACTTGCGTATTAAGTTCATTTCTGCAATTTCACCGCGAACCAGTGCACTGTACATTCTGTGTTACTATGGCCTCTGTCACCTTGCTGTGGGAAGGGAGGACTTTTTAAATGCACAGTACTCTTAGGACCAGTTCTTAGCTCTTAGAAGTTTGGTCATGGGCCAATGATTGGCCAGTTTTGTCGTAAAACATTGGGAGCCAGTGCCAAATCGAGCTGAAGAAGTGTGACCCGATACAGGTGAGATTTTGCAAATTCGGCTCAAGTTTATGTCTGGGTTTCATTAATTTTTATTTTGAATTTTGGGAAAATTGGAACACTGCCAAATTAAACTCCCAAGTTAGAAGAATTTGGAATCTTGTGGAAATACACACCAATAAGATTCGAATCGTGGGCAAAGAAAAACAAAAAAAAAAAACTTGCATACACAGCCTTTGAATTTTATGAAAAATAAACTCGAAGAACACTGAAACCCTAAACATACCAAAGAGACCAGCAGATTTTAAATTTGTAGAATTTATAGACGCTTTACACACGCACCAAATTACAGCTGCCATTGCTGACCTTCTCTTGTCTTATCGAGATGCCGAGCAACTGAAATGGTAGTTGACAATCCTCTACAAAGGCCGACGCTTTAGAAAAGGACACAGTTGAATCTAATATGGCAATAACCTGGCCTGCTATGGTAATGATGAAGTGAAATAAACGGAATAAGAGGAAACAAAAACTGAAGGTCAGTTACGGCGGCGTCCATGCACAGCTGCTGCAAAGCGTCTATAGGGCCAGCCTTGGGAATTTTATGTTCGTGGCATGTAGCCTCAGTGATGTGACGGCATCACGTGACATCATGACATCATATGAATCTATGATGTCATATGTCTTAGTGAGTCACGTATCACTGTGATACTTTTCTTTGAAGGCATTCTAAATGCTTTGCATTTAGAATGCCTTCAAAGAGACAGCACATATTGTTATGATTGTTTACTGCATGACCAAAGAGCTACTGGACCAACTGGACGCGGCATTGGGCCTTTCCATCGACCTGTGCTCGGAGCTGCAGCTGCACTACTTCCAGCTAGCCGAGGACGTCTCTCAGCTAAGGGCCTTGCGGCGGGGGCTGAGGGGTCAGTCCGGCGAGCTGTCGCACCAAGAGTGAGTACCGCCCTTGGGACATCCGCTCGTCGTGTTGATTAGAGGCTGGCAAGCTGCCTCCTCGAACTATGTTTCAGAGAACACTATCGGATGACTCCTATGTTGTATTGTGACAGGTTACTAAGGAGGAAATTATATGGAAAGTGCTGCTTTCTTTAACCCTTTGACGGTCCATTTTTTTTTCCAAAAGACATTTCCCATTGGGTGGGTTTTGTTTCCAAATGAGTAGTATAAAGAGAGGGTCAATGCGCAGCATTCTTCTTAATTCTCTGGCGGGAGCATGTATAGTACTTGCAAGTCGTTCAGGTCTAGGAGCACTAAATTAAAATATAGAAGGCGAAAAGTTGTCGCTTTTCTTTCATTTGGTTTCATTTTGGCGCATCCGCTTCCGCGATATTCCGGTGGCTTCCAATCCCTAACTGGATGTACTTTACAGAGCTGCTCTGTCGGATGATGAGCTATTATCATGCAAATTTAATTCCGAGAAGCGGGGTAGGTCTGATTCGGAAGAGTCACTGCTCACATTGACACTACCGCCAGAGTGGCCGGTACGCGAAGCGAACATCACGTGCGTAGAACAAAAAGTTTTAGAACTGTAAATATCCGAACAAAGCAAAATGTTGTTCGAATATAAGGCTTATAGCTTGCCAAAGACATAACAAATGGCAACATCTCCCGCAGTGCGCGCAGTTTCGCTTTCGGCCGGGCACTTTCAAATATGTGATCACCGCTGTACATGTATGGCAATGACTGTCAAGGGTTAAAGGGACATTGAACTCTCAGAAATCATGTTTTTAATTGGCTGGATAGAACATGCGTGTCGCAGAACAAACCTCCCCTCAAAAAGAAAAGCGCAATATTTATGCCACGAGACTTTTGAGTTAGAAGTAGTTCTTTTAGGGTCGCCTTCCGAAATACATATAAGCAATGTTTCAGATCTGCTTCTAACTCTAAATATGTTTCGTTAGTTGTGACATAAATATTGTGAAAATCTTGAGCTATATCTTTTTCGGGAAATTTTTATTTTCTGACATGCATATCCTATCAAGAAACTTAAAAAAAAAAAAAAAAAATCAATGGGATTACAATTTTTTTTCATTTGCAATAGCTAAAATAACATTTGACGGTTTATAGTGCTTAATCTCGTCTTTATAAATCTGGTGTTCAAATTTGACTAGTGTTTTTATGCTGTAGGTCTGGTGCACATTAAAAATAAAAAAAAGTTATTGTGCACAATTGAAGCATGGCAGCAAAACTCAAGGAGTGACAGAAAATGCTAAGCTAATTCGCTCGTTGTGAACCACTCAGTGCTGTGAACAACAAAAATGTTGTGTGCATTACCTTCTTTATTATTTTAAAATAATTGGAAATTGCGAGAAAGTTATTTTCAATGTGCTGACAAGCATTTCTTTAAGCTTCCATAACTATAAAAACACATTACAACCAAACCTTGATAGTTGCATTCTACAGATCCTAAAGCATATGCATGGCAAATTTAGATGTGATATAGCAATTTTAAGTACAAAAATTACTGTGGACAAACTGTGCAAGTGCCCCGAAATTGCAAAAAGAGAAAAACACATTGGAATATTACAACAGATGTGTTATAACTCTTTTTTGTGTCAAAACAAATTTTTTTAACAGCTTTTTGCGAAATATGAAAAATACCAAAGAATGCAGTATTGTGATGGCTGTGCCGTTTGTGTCAGACTGCGCCAAAGTGTTCACCCTGCTACAGTTTGCCATAATTTGAAAAATTTGTGCCAACATTGTGCCAAAGGTTGATAGTATTACCAAAATAATTAAAGTATAACAGCCCAGGCTCTGCTACACGGCCAGATTTCTACGGTAGGCTTGTGCTAATTTTCAGAACTTTCGGTTATAGCATGAAATATTGTCCTACTTTTTGATTTTAGTTCATTCAAAGCTGACAGTACTTGGAAATTTCACAATATTTGTCATGTGCATTGTCTGTTCCGGCGGTACAGTTAGCTTCGTTGAGTGGGCTTCTTGCCACACACTGAAGCAGGAACTGCAACATGAGAATCGTGATTTTGCGTATCTTACTTTGCTACAGCTCACTCGTGTAATAAGGAGAAAGCACTCTTCCAGGGCGGGACCATCACACGATTTCTTAATAAAGCCGTGGCTATTATATATTATGGTATAATCGACTGCATTATTCTGATGATATCTTTTTCAAATTCGAGATTAGCAAGGATTTATATGGCTTCATATCTGTTTGATGGCACAGTCAAAAGGATGCACTAAAACTAAATCATCTAAGCAGTGGATGGAAGCTTGGAAACAACCTTAGCGAATTTTGCGGGTATTTTTAACAAGGCACATATTTATCATTCACATGCCGATGTTTGTTATTATAAGTTCTAGATATAAAATTGTTTGGTGTCCACAGCGAAATACAGAACCTTAGTTATTTGTCTGATTTAATTAAGAATGGCAGTTTTATTAGAACCTTCAGAATGTGAACAAAACATCAATATGGATGCAGTAAACTATTTTAACATTATTCCAGCAGAATGTAATATTTGCTTTATACTTGATTCTGTATCAAAAATAACTGTGCACTGCAGTTCACACTGTCTTACACCAATCAGCATCTTGCTACCATATTTTTTGCTTCGTTAGGAAGTTTTAGTAGATTGTCTTAATAACTCCCATAACAATACTTAATGCTCCAGGAACCTATCGTCATCGGGTATCGTTATTGGAAGTATCAGAACGTTCTGCTAAAACTCCCTATTGTCTTTCAGTTCGATAAGCCAACACACTAATCTTAACATAACATTTGCAGTGGTATGAAGGAAAACAAAGTGTGTGCTTATGCTACAAAAGTTATTTTTGCTGCTCCGAAATGGACTTCTGGCTGCTCCAAAAGGGGCTCCAAAATGACTCTGACCAATCACATCACTGAGAATGTGACGAAGAGGAGACGATTAGTCCTGGTTCACAAAATAAATGTGATGACGGGCAACGCCACAATTTTAAGAACTGCACACACGAAACTGCCTCCAATTTATGCCTTTTTGGCTCGCCAGAAGTACTTTAGATGTGTGACGAAATTTGTGCCTATATCCGGTTGTAATATTTTAAACATAAAAGATGAAGGTTCGGAGGTAATAAAACTCTAGACTAAAACCCGATGTCTTACATTTCGTAAAAGAAATTTCCTTTTTTTTTTTCTATTTCTTTTTTTAAAGGGATGCTGAACAAAAATTTGGAGCTCACAAAACTAGACTGGAGCAAAAGGCAAGACGCTACAAAACCCAAAAACATCACTCATATAGCAACACCCCTAACAGATGGCCGTATATTTAAAAAATAAAGTGCGCGATTCAACACGGCCAGTGAGGCCGACGGGGCATGTGACATTGCAATTCTTATTCTCTCTCCTCTTCGCTTTGTTTCCTCCAGCAGCTGAACCGAAGTGAGGAGGTGAGGAGCGAGGCTGCTTCCCCTCATTCTCAACTGTTCCAGAGTTGTGACGTCACATACCTTGCTTGATCGCGCCCTTCTTTTCCAAAAATACGGCCATCCGTTTGAGATATCGATGTATGAGTGATGTTTTGGAGTTTGTAGAATCCTATTCAACGCTTCTGCAGCCTTATATTGCAGAATTCAAATTTTGGTTCAGTATCCCATTAACATAGTATAGTAAAATTGCAGAAAAAATAAAGAGACTGCTTTGGCTGTCATTTATGCCTGTCAGGGGAGCTTACAACTTTGTGATTCAAAGCGATCTGTAGGTCATACTGAGGAAGGAATACTGAACCTCTTATAGCGAAACTGAACTGGTTTTGTATTTGAGAAAAAACACTTAAATTGTCTTTATTAGCCTCCAGGATTACAAATATCAAAATTATAGTTCAGATTGATGTGCCAAGTAGCCAAAACAGCACTTTCAAAATACCACTGAGGCCCCCCCCTCCCTGTCAAATTCGGCGCGAGGAGGGAATCATGACGTATTATAGAGATCTCAACATTTCTGCGCTTCCCGCAAGCTTTGCCCGAGCAGTCAGAAACGCTACACCCATTCCCTCACAAGCGACAGCGCAAGGCAGCTGAAACCTCTGGGTATGACGTCACTGCCAGCGGTTGGTTTTCGGTTTTTCTTGCATCTATTGAGATATTCGGGTCAAATGCTTGTGATGTAAAAAATCACAGGACAAAAATACGCTAGAATTTATTTCTAACTCATTCTTTCAAGAGCCTCTCCGGCTTCCTTTTAAAAATTAGTGATAATATGGAAAGGAAATATAAAAATGGTACAGAGATAGAGATAGCTTAAGGTTTCATACACGGATGCCATTCGTTGCCGTTACTGTTCACATTGTATGAGGCTAGAGAAAGGTGGCTATGGCTTTTTTTTGTTGCGTTATAGGCAGCGTCAAAAGGTTGAGTACTCTTTACAGGGCTAGTGTATGAAGGTGATGTACAGTGCAATCCAGTTATAACAATAATGAGAAAATCCGAAAATGCAGTCATTATAACTGATTATCATTGTATCTGGACTGGATACCCCCACCTAAAATACATGGTCCTCTAGAAACTGATCGTTATAAGCGGTGCATTGTTATATGTGGCACGTAGCCAGGCACGTAGCCAGGGAGGAGTCCCATGGGGCCCGGACCCCCCCATGAAATCTTTCATTTTGCTGGGACCTCCTCTCCCCTCTCTCATATAGCATTTTGTCATGGGCGGCCCCCCCCATCACCCCCCCCTTCCTTCGAAACAAAATCCTGGCTATGTGCTTGGTGTCGTTGTCGTTATAAGTGGATTGCACTGTTTTGCTAATGGCTGGCAGCATAATGAGTTTGCAGGGATCCATGAAAATCTGTGGTACAGAGAGGGATAGGTTAGATCTAGAATTCAGTAGCAACAAGTTGGCGATCATAATTTTGAACAGTTACAGGGCTGAAGAGCTTAAGATCCAAGAATTTATGCTTCAGAAAGCAGATATTCAAAAACACCTAGGGCTA